ACGCCTTACGGTGGCCTTAAAATTACACCTCTGTTGTCCTTAACTCTTTGCATTGTCTCAAGTGAATGTTGGCATTGTTCGGCTCCATAATTGCTGCTAGCAGCTATATTTCTTCCTTTGTCTGTTAAATTAAAATGCACTAATGATTTACTAGTGAGAGGGTGAGATCTGCTGAAAAACTTCCACAACTCACACTCCCAATGACCTTATATTGACAGATATTCCCAAGCCAACTCTGACTGTTGAGCCACAGAGTTCATTGTTCACTGGAGACTCAGTTACTCTGAGATGTGAGGTGGATCAGTCATGGGATGAATGGGAGTTTATCTGGAGTAAAGACTCAAACACTGAATCTACTGAAGCTGCAACGAAAACAATCAATTCAGTTAAAGTCTCTGATGGAGGAGAGTACAGGTGCAGAGCACGAAGAGGAGGACTTTACACAAATTACAGTGAACCAGTAACAGTGACAATATACGGCAAGTATTTTTGATCACATAAAACTGATTCATAAGGCATTGAACAAGTGACTATGACAATTATAAAGAACAACACTTCAGTCTTAACTTGATTTATGTGTTTTACAATAAAGTAACTGTTTATACTGTAAAAACAGCACATTATTTTCATTGTGATTTGTTGTCGTTGTACAGAAAGACCAAAAGCCAAAGTGAGCATTAAACCTGATCAACATGTATTCAGAGGAGAGACAGTCACTCTCAGATGTGACATTGATGGTGAAGCAGTCACTAGCTGGCAGTACAGCTGGTATAAAGACGGTTCAGTCAGTGTTTTCAGTGAACTACAGGAACACACATTCAGTCCTGTTACTGAGTCTGATGCAGGTAAATACTCCTGTTATGGAGAAAAGAGAGGAGGATCACGAGCATCAAACATCAGTGATGCAGTTACACTGACAGTATCAGGTGAGTTTCATCATTGCTTCATAAACACATACAAGTTTAACATGTTAGTAATGAATCATTTCTCTATTTCAGATAAACCCAGAGCAGTTTTAAGTGTTTCTCCACAGAAGTGGTTGACTGAA